TGTTGAAGGTGTTGAAGATCCAAAATTGAATTTGAATACGCTGAATACCACAAAAGCCAGACGATTGGTGAAAAGTAGATCAAAAACGGGGAGAAACGAAATGAACTCCGTGTGCAGGGCGGATAACGCGGTGTCTAAAGTACGGAAGAGAAAGACGAAGTTACGAAGTTCCATTTCCAAGAGCACAGTTACTACCAGAGACACTGGTTTTATTGGTAGAAAAGAGTCGAAGAGGCGCCGGTATAAAGGTAAAAAATCACACACAGCACATTTTTTCCAAGGGATGTCCTGGAAACGCCCTTAGGATGTAGGACGTCCCTTGGAGATCTGGGTATCGATCGTGTAATTTTTTCTCTAAAGCGGAAATGTGAAAAGTGAAAATTTTTATATATGTATGTACATAAACACAGAGCATACAAAAAATGTTCACTTTCCATGTTTCTGCTCTTGGGAAAAAATTACATGATTGATCCTCTTGGAGACCTTGGAGTCGAGTTTATGTACAGTCTGTCTACATATATGTTTACAATTATATTGTGCTCGTCATCAGAGATAAATCTCTGTTATTTGTGGTAATTTTTGACACAGGCCTTGTCATTAATTGTCAACCTCTCATCAATCGCTCATCAAATGCTCATCAACCGATCCATCAACCATCATCCAATCCGCCAATGCATGTGAAGAAGTCCAATAATGTCGTGGAGATTTTTCATAATACTAAATTGAAGAATAACAATTTCGGAGTGTCCATTAAACACCTTAAGGACGATGGAGCTAAGTATGAAAAAAAACCGCATCTTCCTGATGAAACCAAGGAAAATCCAAAGAGAATTCAAGAGACAATGTTGAGTTCAAAAGATAGACATTCTGAAAATGTTACTCAGAAATGTGAATCCCACGACAAGAAAAATGAACCGGATCGTTGTCTTCAGATGTTAAATCATCAAAACAATACATTGTCAGAGTAATTGCATAATAGTACTTATAGTTACCATAATCGTTATGTTATCATAATTACTCTCTAGTGTGTGATGGTTAACATAATTATTTATATATTTCTATTACCATTATTATTATTATTATTTATCTCAAATTTCTATCATCATTACTTATTGAATTTTGAATCTTTTTCTCTCATAGAGCGAAGCCCGAGATCACGCAAGAACAAGACAAATCAGAAAAGCAGATCCATTCCATACACAACGATTTTAGTCCACTGGCACAGGATGAAACGCAACAGTGCAAACGAACTTTCAACAGATACGACGATCCATTGTTCACGCCTAACTACGAGATGCCGACTTTGGCGTCGAAGTTAAAACGCTCGAGCAGATCGTACTTCAGCGGGTTTAATTTCCAAAATATTCCGTTTGTGGTGGGAACTTCGGTGACCCCGAGTCACAATCTCGGATTGAATATTCAACAAGTGAGCTGGCGAAACTCAGCGAAAAGCAGCGGGTTATCTAAAAAAAACATCCTCCTGAAACGTAGGTGTTGAGCGTGATGAAGACGAGACAGCCGAGCACGAGCGATGTCACCCCGTTATTAATCCGCAAAGTCAGCAGAGGCATGAGGCCGATGTCGGTTCTTCTGGGCCAGATGGACGGTCACTACGAGGGATCCGTCCCCAACGTGAGCTCGCAAATGACTGGAATGCTTAAATTTAACAGCAGGGAAAACCTCGGTCGAGATAAAAGATTGTCCATGTTTAATTTACACGTGGGAAAGACGCAAAGTGGTCGTATGCCAAAGACGTTCACGAATGCAGAAATTATTTTTGAAAAAGACAATAATGTTTCTAAACAGCTTTGTAAAGAGAAAGTTGATTCTTCCAATCATAAGACTAAACAGCAATCTTCTTCTGCTGTGAGCAAAAGAGACACTCCGACGAATCCTAAAATTCAACAAGGAACTTCGAGGATATCGTTAAAGGTAAATCGCATTCTAGCAGTTTGTTTTGAAACATATTATAACATGTTGATGTCGTAGAGTAATATTGGCGATCATAAAATGCGTATTCCTGATTCGCACAATTCTAAGGAGATACGTGACGTCCTGGTCAATCTTCACGATCAATTTGAAGAGATGAACAAGTGAGTGTGTTGGGTCTATTAAAGGATCCTGTATTGATTAAATTGAGTCCCGGTGAAGTGAGTTACGGTTTTCACATATAAATTAGATTATAATATAATGAATAAAAGATGTTATAGATACAAGGCTCAATGCCCTAATAGCACAGATCTCCAAGGGACGTTCCAAAGAATATTCAAAGGATATCCCTATGTCCTAAGAGCGTTCGCCAGAATAAAGTGTACTATTTGGGTAATGACTAGTTTTTTTTAACTATGATGTAAAAATGTAAAACTTGTGCTCATAAAGGAGCACCTTGATACGTCGCAGTTCAAAAACTATTCATTATTGCTCTGTGTCTATGATATCTTTTGTTTACCATATTATAAGTTACACATTAGGGTATTAGATTTAGATTCCCTCCCAAGTGCTATCTACTGCAGGTATCAATTTATTCTTGTTGTTTACCGAATATTAAACAAGGATAAAATGATATCTGAGTGACTTGGATGGGAATTTGAACATAGCTTTATAGTAAAAATTAACTCATTTCACCAAAGCTCAATTTCTTATAGGAGTCCTTTAAAAATAATTTTGATAGATATATTATACTTATGTTTTTTATAGAAAATATGAGAGATTACGATCAGAAGTGGACAAGTCCAACGATAAATCTTTAGCGAAGGAATTGTCCGCTCTGGAGAAGGAACTCAATGTCAAGGAAGAAGAAATCAACGCTGTTGTTGGTCTCTACAAAGAGGTAAAAGCCATTATTGAATATTCATATATTCCGTAATCATGCATACATTGTTTTCAATGACAATGCAAAAACAGGTAATGACGCTGAAACAGCAAATGAAGACATTGCACGAAAGAAACAGTCTGGTTTGCATCGCGACCGAGTTGACCAAGAGAACCAACAAGGATTCTTTTCCAATATCTATTATACCTGAAAAATCGCAGATTTTTGGTCGAAGAAAAATGTTCAATGCCACACGAGAGCCGCCCGTTTCTATGCAGCTAACTGCGTTATTACGGCAGATTCAAACTTTTCATAAGCAATTGCAGCTCGTGTCGTAACGTCACATCGAGTCACGATAAAAGAGCAAGAAAATGGAATAAAATTGGAGTTATTTTTATCAAACTGCCTACACATTGATATAGCGAAATTTTAGTATTTCCTAAAGATTTCCGCAGGATAGAGGACATTAATTTTCTTCCAGGATACGAAAAACATATTTAAAAACACGTTCGGATTTCCCAAGTGGTCTCATGTATTATTTTATTCTTGTTTAACATTTAAGGTGAGTTCCATTTTGCGCTCATAACGCTTGTAAGTATTATTTGTCACCCCTAGTGAACAATAAGAATGAAATGATATACCTCGAATGGAAAATCCAAACATAGAACGTTGAGAGGTGTTTCTACTCTTTTCTTCTTCAGGGTGATAAAAAAGAACGAACATTTTCAGCAGATCATATTCCATTTTATTCAATTCTGTCTACTACCCCATAATAATGTGTATTATTCGTTCGTATGCGTGTTACGATTGTAATTCATGTATACGCAGCTCTCTGCCTTGTGTGTATGTGTGTATGTTTATGTGTATACCTCTATACATATAATATATTTATATATATGTATATACACACAGAATCAACATGTGTGTAAAACGCCGAAGGTGGTTTTCTTAGGACTCCTGCTAGAGACGGATTCATCGTCGTCGCGGCTTCCACGGTCGATTGTAATTTTGTCAGTTGCAGCTACGTACGACGATATCCAAGAGAAATTGAATGTTACGCTACTGATTTCTTTTTTTTACGCTTTTTTAATTTCTTTCTGTCGTAAGATTCTAATCTCTCTAGATATGTTCGTAGATCATGTGATCCGCATGGCGTATCTAGCGTTCTTTCTTTTTTAGTACTAATTAAACGATTCGTAATCTAGCCTGTTTCTTAGCTTCGCTAAATAAAGTGATTTTTGCTTCCCTCTGTATTCTGGCTTCTTTTCAAAAGTATTCCTGCTTATCTCTCTCTCTCCCTTCCTTTCAAAGCGTCTACACAGAATCACGCGATCTATTCTTATGCGTTAAAGATACTATCCGCTACAAAATGTATCTTAGTTAACGTTAATATAAAATGTTATCTTAGATCTATATATATATATATATATATATGTATATATATATACGATAATACTAATTTGCTCTCTCTCTTTCTTACTAGTGGAGGGCGCTTAGGTGCACCCGCGAGAAATAAAAACATTCCTGTGGGCATCAAATACAAAATTAATTTTCTCTCGTGAACAGCGCAGTCCTTTTGGCAGTACGGATGGAGGACAACAGTTCTGTGACGAACGCGGAAATGATCTCGTCACGGCAATAAAGTGCTCTTACTGTCGCACATTTTTGTTGCTACATATCAAATGATGGAGTAATTATAAAATGGCAACAGATAAGACAAACTTAATTTCAAGGATTGTCCAATCAACAAAGTGATATATCCTTGTTGGATTTCTTAATCAAGTCAATATTTATATTCAAATATTTATTTTTATATTCACTCCAATTATTGATGCGTCTATAAAAAATCCATTTTCTTACTTCTCCTTGTATTCTCTAAGATTACTCTGTCTCCAACCGTTCTTTCGAAAAAGGACTCTGCTTTATGCTATCGACATCGCTATAAGATCTTCTGAAGATATTGCCGACTTCAATCATCTCTTGCAAAGAAAACAGCGGAAAAATCATCTCCCTTTATCTCGGTCTTCTACAAAATTGTTTTCACAAAAGGAAGAAGAAAATAGAAACGGAACCAAGTACTCCACACACACATTCTCCCATCTTAACGCAAATATATCTCTCATTATATCACAGACTAAAAAATGCTTTGGTCTAAAGAATTGTCTTGTTCTTTTTTTGTTTTTTTTTCACTCGCTTTTGTTAATTAGAACGAACACGCATTTACGTGTTCGCGACTGGCTTCGCTGCCGCGCGTCGGTGTACAATTATTTTCAAAAATGTTAATTTTTGCCTGCAGGAATACGAAATCAGTGAATCATTCATCAATTTTCGTTTTCTGCTTGATATCGAAAAGCTTAAAACCACCGCGGCCTTTGTGTCTCAATTACATATCAGAACTTTCAAATCTGAAACAGTGGCTGATTTCGTCAGTGTCATGGTAAAATGAGAAAAAACACCTTCGGCGCAGTTGCAACTTATCGTCAGTGAAATTCGCAAAGCATTTCTTTCATATTAGTCGGCATACGGTAGAACTCAAGCCATTAGCACCCTTGATTCTCGAGATTCTATGTGAAAAAATCGATCCAAGTGGAATTTTAAGGCGTTTTTACGATAGTAGTCCCTAGTCGGTTGTGTGTGTATACATTGCGAACGGCCTTAAAATCGTACTTGTACAAAAATATAAACGCAAAAATCAACGAGCTTCTCTTAGTGAATATTCTTTTTTTTCTCTCTCTTTTAATACGTTATTAAGATCGTAACATTTTATAGTACTCTACAATATTACAACATGTGATATCTCTTACAAGGTACTTATATAATACGAGTATAACCCCACAGATTCGTTCTTTACTCTTTCAGCATTAGACTTCAGCGATTTATTTAAAATGATAAAATAAATATCGGGTCCATTATAAACATGTTAATCATTATATGGATATCCGCTCTCTCCTATCTTTTCTTTTTCAAGTCTTATTGATCTTACGATAATCATCAAATTTATCGTCAGTGAGAAAAATTCGACTCTTTACGAGCAATAAACTAAACACGTTTCTCACAATTGTATGATATACGTCGTTATATTTGTCGGAAAAATCTTGATTTGTTTTAACGATTCAAAATGACAAGTTGGACTTCCGTTCGTTCGATATATGTTCTTGCATTAACCGTTATAAAACTTGATACTTTAAGTACAAACAAGTTTAGAAATCTTTGCAACAAATATATATATATATATATACATATAAAATATAAGTACATTTTTTAATACATTTATAACTGATCAATTTCATGAATTGTAAATGTATCAAAATAAGCATCCAATTTCTCGTTAGTGTCAAAAATGTATCATTAATGCTGCATATACAATGAAATGAATGGAGGACAATCAAATGGAAATCTTCCATTGCAAACGAATACATTAAATACAAAATGAACAAGATGCACGCGATTATATCATCGAACAATTATTTTATATTACGTCGTATTCAGTTTAAGTTGTAGAATTATTAGCGCTTAAAGAGTTCAAATGTACTACCATGATATCATGTTTTTATTCTGTAGACATACTATTGCTCACTATAAGTTGTTCGTTTATGTCTTTCGATATATCGATTATGTTGATCAAAAACGATGTTGTAAAAAAGATGCATTACTTTAAACATTGAAAACATTCGGTATTATTTTCCCAGCGTCGTAACGCAAACGGAATCTGCGATCGAAAAAAAACCGTATAAGAGGATATACGGCACGCATGATTTTATGAAAGCGAAGTAAATCCTACACTAGAATGTATTATTCACTTTCATGTTTTTGTTCTCGAAATCTTTTGATTTTATATGATAAATTCTCGTTGCGTTACAGTAGTATTCTTCGTTCAGGCAGATATTGCTTCTCTTCAGGCCTTTTTAATCATGACCGCATAATGCTAAAATTGCAGATGGTGATGAATGTGCCTGCGACAGCTGTATCTTCTTACAGACATTTAAAGACCATTTAAAGTTTCAACAATGTTGTTTCAAATCAGTTCTTCATTATTCGTGAATTAAATACTACGTCAAGCCTTTTTGGCTATGAGGGCGTCAATCAGTCTCAATTTCGCTTTCGCCTGCTTGTATGATTCATACACGGTAGTGACTTGCGGTCCACGATCCTCACGTTGCATACGGCGGCCAGCTCGAGCTTCAAATTGCGCTTCTAATTCTTTCAACGCTCTACGAAGCCGCTTCTTCTCCTCTCGAGTAGCCCGTTGTTGTATCAGTAATTCTTCTCTGTAAAAAAAAGGAAATAACGTTTAACGAAAATTGTCAGCAAATACGTTTTAGTTAAATGTTTTTTTATTAGAAATAATTTCTAATGTTTTTATTTTATAAATCTTTTTTGAGAGAATAAGTATATAATTAATCCTCCGTCTATAATCTTATTTTTCTCCCGATTTGCAACCTATTATTTTGTTGTTATAGATTTTTAAATATGAAAAAATTCAGAATTACTTTTCAACATCTCTATTACATTATCAAATAGTTTTAACAAAATACTTTAAGAGGGGAAATCGAATTCCTTCTTTATTTTGGAGAAATTTCAAAATAAAATTTCATGAGTATCAAAAGACTTAGATTGCAGAGAAAAGACAGAATCATAAGTAAATAGAGCCTAAAAAAGTATATATTGAAAGTGTTAATTTAATATTTTTTTATATATTTATATGTGTATAACAACTTCGTATTATATATAATTTTAATCTAAACTTACTGAGGAAGAGCGTGAAGACCTTCACCGGCATCGCTACTGCTATGCTGGCTATCGCTATCAGTTGGCAATTGATCTACGGGATCGATACAGTCCAAGATGCCTCGATGTGACATATCAGGCTCGCTGGCTCTTCTATCAGTCTCTACAGGATTTCCTGGAAGATTCGATGACGTAAAATCCATCGTTTCGTGCTCTAGGATCGTGGCCAGTTCGGTAACGCTGTCCTTATTTTTGCTCTACAACATGTACAGAACACATTGTCATTTTACTCCAAAAATTTATTTTAAATTATATTTAGTTAACAATAATTAATTGTTCTTACCGCGCCCGCTCTAATGAGCAGTCTCTTTAAAGTCCTGTATCGGTCGTATAATGGTCGAACAACTGATCTGTCTTCCTTAGAAACTGGCCTGCCGAAAGTGTTTTCAATGTGGAGTAATGCTTTCTGCACAGCCGTCTTTTCATCTAATAATTGATCGTAACTGAGTTCGTCCATGTTATCGGGCCGGTTGTACTTAATACGCTTCTCGCTAAGTTTTTTCTCCGCTTCCTTGATCACTTCCTCTATTGTCTGAGATTTCTCGTGGCCATTGTTGTTGTTTATGGGACTGCCGGTAATATTCAGTCGATTGTTGGCATTGGCTAGAAGCGCACCTATTGGATCTTCCTTCAATAATTTGTGTTCTTTCCGAAGCTTATTTAGCTCCGTGCACAGCCGTTTGATGTCGCGATTGCTCATTTTGTCAGAATGACTCGGTCGATAGCCAAAGTTTTCCTCAAACTCATCCTCATACTTTTTGATCTTCTTCTTCAGACCGTTAATATGCTTTGCAAGATTTTTTAGTCCCATTTCCGATGGACTAAGTGTATTTGATTGTATTTCCTCTTCGGAGTAAAATCTCCTGGGGAGCAACAGCGAGTTTCTTGGCGAGAGCATAGCTTCCACTCGAGCGTCCGCGGCTTCTTCCTACAAATTCCAATTGATACATATAATTAATATACGTAAAAAAGTTTAAACATTTATTTTTTATAAAAATCTTGACTTGTATATAGGATGTCCCATTTTAAATAATGCATTAAGATTTTTCGAAAACTATGGTAGATACGGAAAAATGTTTCAAACAAAAGTTGCATGATTCGGAGGAAGATATAAGAAGGCACCATTGATTTGATCTTGGGTGGCGTCGCCAAGGTCAGGTCAAAGTCACGTCGATTTTTAAAAAATGAAATCTCCTATTTTTCATCACATACTCTTGTAGCTCAAGAGCTCTTTTCAAAACACTATAATAAAATATTTTTCTTTAAATGCTTTTTGTATTATGAGAATTCAAAGTTACAGTATCGCCGGTATTAGCATTACGCGATGTGTCAGATTATTCCTCTTATTTTCAATTTTACATTAAAAATTCATTTTTACGTTAAAATGAAAATAAAAAGTACAATCTCCAATGGCTTTGATCTTGACAAATGTTATCCAGGACATGATCCTGAACAGCATTCAAGAGGTTTTAACCGTTAGCCGGACACCTTGCGTAATATTAATGTCAGCGGTATTGTAACTTTCAAGCCTTATAACTCGAAAAGTATGCAATGAAATATAACTTTATTGCAGTGTTTTGAAAAGCTCTTGACACCAGCTATTACATTCTGCCATCAAAAATAGGATGTTTCGTCAAATCAATGGTACCTTCTTATGTCCCTCTAAAATCATACAACTTTTATTTAAAACATTTTTCCATATCTACCATAGTTTTAGAGAAATCTTAATGCATTATTTAAAATGGGATATCCTGTATATAATTTTTTCTGTATATCTCTATTCACATAATTCTTAGAGTGCTATTACATGAAAAGTGTGGAAATGCGGAAGACAGAATTAACTAAACTTTACTAAATTTCTGCGTTTCCGCGCGTTCTGTTCCGGCTGTTTTGATCTCCTAATATTACATGGAGCACAATTTTCGCGGAACGGTATAGTGACAAATACACTTTTGTATTCATTAAAAAATTGTGTTTACTTAATTCATGGCAATTTTTATTAATATGCTTATCTTTTCAGCTTATGTATTGAATATAAGCATTTTAATCAATAAATACCATTAAAAATTAATAATTTCTAATTTCCCATTCCGCTTTTCCGCTCAAATTGTGTGTTCCATGTAATATTAGCAGATCAAAACAGACGGAACGGAACATGTGGAAACGTGGAAATCTAGAGTAAAGTTTAGTTAATTTCGTCTTCCGCGTTTCCACGATTTGTGTAATGACACCCTTAATCTTTAAGTTAAAATTACATTTAATTGTTAATTATTTTGTGTAGTATAATTTCTCAATAATTATCATATTACAAACTCTAATTTTTAATTAATTTAGATATTATATAAAATTAAATATATCTACATTTCCTTCTAAATGTTGAAAGCCCCAATTAGTCAAACTGGGATTATTAACGTCCTCGTGATCGACGGTCGGTGGACGAGCTGGCGAAGGTGATCTGCTCGGTCCGCTGCTCAACATCTCCAAGAAGCTTTGAGCTGGGGAGCCATTATGACTATTAGGACTCGGTGACACATTGGAGATGTACATATTTTCAGATTCCTCTTCGTTTTCCTAAAAAAATTAAACTCTTAATTTTTCTTATCAAATGTAATTCGTGATATGCAGAATATAAATTATTTTAAGCATCGCAATATTATCGCTACAACATCTGTAAAGTCCTATTACCACTAAAAATGTCACAAAGAGTAAAGTATAAGTGATTGACCACGATATAGTCATGGAGTCTGTTCTTTTTAGTTAAACTTTTAGCACGGTTTATTTTTTCTCTTAATAAGAAATTAACAAAGGGCAAATGAGAGTAAATAAATAACTGTGCGGTTAAAGGTGTGCTATTAAATGTTTTAATAATATGTAAGACAATTATATATATACTTCTTAATTAAGTTCCGTTATCTTTTTCTCTCCAACGTAGAGAGAAAAGGAAGAAAGATGAACTGTGCAAGAATTTTAGCTAAAAAGAACAGATCTATGGTGGAAGAAGCAAAGTGTAAAGACTATCGCACATGAAATGCATAACAGAGCATAAGCATAACATAAGACTGCTGGACCAATGAGCATCTAGCATAATGTCGCCATATTGATTTACATAAGATGCTCATTGGTTTAGCAGCCTTATGTTATGCTTATGCTCTGTTATGCATTTCATGTGCGATAGCCCTAATAATGCGCATAATGCTAATTGCGCATGTTCTTCTACGTTATGACCAACCAATCAAATACTAGTCAAAATTAATGTTCCTATAATAAAAGTTAGAACAAACCACCGCCATTAATAGCCAAATACTACAGACTGTAGATGAATAGCCCAATACTATTACAGAGACTATAGATGATATACAGAAAATATGACACATCAAACATATCTTCTTCCACTATGGATACAGTGATTGACCATTTGCTACGAATTTGTCTACATATTAAAATCCAAGTCGAATTAATAGCTAATTTCACAACATAGTAATAACTGGTCCCTGTCCTATACTTGGGAAAGAAGAGAATACATTAATCAATTTCAATTTCTGAATTTTTTCTTCTTTATTTTGATGGTATTACTAATAGTCAATCACTGTCTTTTTTCTGTTCAATAACTGTCAAACTTGTGGTCAATAACTATCATTTTCTGAATAAAAGTTTCTACTGTTGCAAAAAATAAAAAACATGGTCTTATCCAAAGTTTTTTATATTTGACATATTCTTTGAACCTTACTTAACATTTGCTTTGCATTAAATTCAAATTTCAAATAATTTAAATAGTGATTACAGTGATTATATTAAATTTCAGTTAAGTGGTCAATCACTGTACACTTTATCCTATATAATTTGCGAGTTTCATGATTAGACCAAAATTTAATTATGCTAATTTTAGGAATGCAACTTTTATGAAATATCGGAATTTATTTTACTGGAATTAAATTTTAATCAAAATTAACTTTTTAACATCACATAATATTATATACGAGACTAAATATTAATTAACGTTTCTTTTTTAATGAAAGATTTTATTTACCTTACTGGAACTCTGGTCAGTATCTGGGATTCTGTGCACTCTTCTCCTGCGTGCTTGTCTTCTACCTCTCGGGGTAAGACTTCTACTAAAGCGTTCGCTATTTCTCAATTTTTCGGCGTCGCAATCATATTTTTCAGTCGCTACAACTACCTCACACGGTGACGGTACTGACGACGATTTTTTCGACACTGGTGAAACGTTGGTTCTCTCATGGAGCGGTAATCCGCCACATCTCTGTGCCACATCAAATCACGAATCAATTAGCAATCAAAAGTTTATATTTTACTTATAATAAAATTGTGCAACTCTAAAAATATTAATTTATTATATATCAAAACATACTTTCTATATTAATACATAAAATGAAATAATTAATGTATTATACGATAATTAAACTTTTGATACATTTGATAATGAAATAAAAGAACGTTTATTAATAGATAATTAGTTCCATTAGAAATACTTTTCTAGAATTATATATAAAGTAGGTCTCATATATTTAATAATTTAATAAAAATTATACAAAATATTATACAAAAATATCAATTTTTTTTTAGAGTCGAACCTTAACTATTGCGATTATATACTCACCACACCGTGACCCATGTCTTGGCCGAGTTGCGATAAAATGTGCAAATGTTCCTGGCTATTGAAATCTTCGTGGCTGCTCACACGTCTGATCGTATCCGCGACGTCGGTGGGACTGTCAAGAACACGTTCTTCACTGCTACTCCTGAAAGGCATAGTCGTGGCATTCTATGTACAATTCTAAATTCGCCGCAACGCAATACTAGTAAAGACAAACAGTGCTCGCAAACGTATCCATAAAATTCAAGTCGTACGAAAACTTAGTAAATGGACATTTTACATTTTTGCACCGCGATAATTCTTGTATGCAAATTTATATTCAATACTTATTGTTACAGTAATAAATTAAGAGTTACACAGTTTCATAACACGCGAATGAGAGAAATCAACACTAATTGTAAATGAAATTCGGAATAATTTATCAAGTAATCTTTTACCGCATGTGTAAAACGCTCTCACAGTTATTACACTTAACAGACCATTACATTTTATAATTAACACGACATAATTAACACGACATTTAAAATAAACAGCAAATGTTTTGGAGAAAATTGTGACATCTAAGCGCGCGATAAAATTTACATAAATCATGAAATTGATTTCATCAATAAATAATAATTCAATCCAATTCAAAACGTTTTTGTCGAAACATAATGTTTAGCGACATCAAAATTCACTAACAATATAGGTAAATTTTTACGAATTGCTCAAACCGGCTGTTTCAGCGACAAAAAGGATCACGTGATCAAAATTGACGAATATCAAGCATCCATTTTGATCACGTGATCCTTTTTGTCGCTGAAATAGCCGGTTAGAGCAGCTCGTGAAAATTTACCTTAAGATCAAATTAACTCTCGAACACACATGAGTTTCTCAGAGCCAATCGAAATTTCACTTGCTCCGTACACGAAGAAAAGAAAAGCGAGGAATTTTATTTTATAACTTAACAATATAAAAACTTTTTGGCATTACAATCTATGCAAGTATATTTCTAGATCTCATAACTTCAAAATAAAAAAAAGAGTCTAAAAATATTTATCTAAATTGAACTTACAGTGGATTTTCCAGACCCATAGGGTGTTTTCAGAATTTTTCGGAACGGTGTGTGTTCTAGAGTTAAGAATATTATGAATGACATTAAAGGATCTGTATGATTTTAGTATGCAATTATAAATACCTTATTAGCTTCCGTTCTTGGCAGCAGGATTCGCGACGTTCCTTGCGCTTACGCGGTTTCAGTGCACAGAGCAGGGACGCACCCTCGGAGTCCTTCGGCTCGTCTCTCGTATCCTTGCAAATCTTACAGTCGCCGGCAGGTACCAAGCCGTTCACCGTATTCTCACGAATACTGTAGCCATACAGGGACAGAGAAGAAAAAAAGAAACCAGGTCAGATCGTAGAAACAAAGCGCGACGATCTTGAAGGTGTCAACCTTCGAACCTTAATCGACTGCCGTTTGAGTCAGTCGGCCGTAGTAAAAGCACCGTTTACGAGCGCGGATATGAGACTGCGGAAACGAGCGAAACGTCGCTATGTTAAAAAAAAATACGGTAAGAATTCCGAGTCGCGAAATTAAAAAAAAAAAGAAGTTAAAAGGTAAAATTAATTTGTCACGCCGGTTGAACGTAGCGAATCGCACTTACTCTCGATAGTGGGTGTACTGAGTTTTCCATTCACGCAGAATACTATATAGTCTCCGTTTTTTTTTCCACCGTTAACGTCGGATAAAGCGATCTATCGTGTTACACTGTGTCATACGTAGGATGCGTGATGACAGACGCGACGAACAACGGAGAGGCAAAGAAACTGTCTAGCTATAACAATATAATCATGAGCAAGACACTCGAGAACAATGCGAAGCACGTACAGTAATTAGACTAATGCGGCATGTTTACCCTGCATTTAGACATCAAACAAGAAAACAGTAATTACAAACGGCTGGCTCAGGTGTCGAGCTTCAATAGGTAAGAGCCACTATCGCGTTTAGTTTTCTTATCACTTCAAAATACAAACCGGATTCGACCGGCTGAAGCGCGTTTGCGTGCACGGGAAAAAATATCGTTCGCATCCTTGCGGGTTATTGCTATAATAACGCGACGTAATTGCAACCCGCGGACCGTACCGAGGGTAGTTTCCTGGTGAATAATGTCCTCGCGCGGCGCGATGTGAAAAGAGTACACGACTACTAATTGTGTGCCATTAAAAAATCATAATGGACCAATAAAAATCACGAAATATCTATTTCACATTCTCGGCTCTGAGGAATATGATGCTGGGTCACTAGGTTGCTTCAATGCAAATACAGGCAACAATCGGAAAATTGTTGAAAGTAAATAAATAACTATTATCTTATAACAAAAATGGACGGAATAAAATAAACTATTCTACAAAGAAATTTGTCATTTTAGCAAAAGAAAACATACATAAACATTATTAAGACTTAAGAAACGACTATATATATGAATACATTAAATACGATAGAAAACGTCATCATGGTCAAAGTTAGATGTTTCGAATAATACAATATATATTCTTTATTAAATCAATTTATTTCAGATTGCGCGCCGGTAACTTTTGGACTTTCAATCAGTCTGAAACGCTAATAATTCCACCTAAATTAAATTAGAAAAACCGTAAAGAACTTATTGTGAAAAATATTACCTTAGCCAGGATTCCTGGAACCTGCGAGTTCTCGACTTTTTTGGACAAGTGTCTTAACCAACTCGATCACTGAGGCTTCGAAAATATTCCTCGCAATAACTGATACGTATAGAGAGAACGCGTTATATAAACATTAGCCGCGTGTGTATAAACATTAAAAACTTAAGAAACGATCATATATATGAATTTCGCAATAAGTTCTTTAATTTTTCTAATTCTTCTCCCGTAATCGTATTTGAAAGCACATATAAACTTGCAAAAATAAATATTAAAAAAGCCAACAATTCGACCGTCTAATATATATGTATTTTAGAACTGATTATCATCTTAAGTTGGGCAATAATTACAAATTTATAAATACGTATTTTTTTATAATATGAGCTAATAAAATGACAGATTTCTCTCTCTCTCTCTCTCTCTCTCATAGTATTTATTTTATTCTATCCGTTCATTGTGTAAAATAAGCTATTTATCTACAACTTTTCGATTATCACAAATCACGTAGTTTAACAATCTTCAAAATGTCCTCTTCATAAATAATTTTATATTAGACATTATCCTCTCCAATTTATAAATTGTCATATAAAAAATCTGTTTAAAAATATATAGTTGTCTTAATGCCAACCGTTTTATTCCGATTTAGATTTTTCCTGAGATAAAAAGCAGCATGTGAATTACGTTTACCTTATTGCACTTAATTTTACGGTCTAATCCAGACATTCTTTTTCCAGATGCAATTCTCGTTCTCGGCAAAAGTTTCCTCGCGCGCAAAAGTATTATCACAGTCAGCGAAATCTAGTTACCATCCTAAGGTTACATTCACAACTATGATTTAAATTCACATTTCGCGAATCTAATCTTTTCACGTAATCATTTTTCCTTGCAAACGTGCAAAATTAAAATTGTTCATCTCAGTTTGCCATAACTTTCTCTTATAAACGCTAATTGACATCTGATAAAAAATGTTAAATTTTGCGTGATAGCGCTACCTTAATTTCAAAAGAATAATTTTTTTTCTTCCTGTGAATCGAAATTTTTTTCATCTCGCGAATTCAGGTCGTCCTCGATGTCTTGTGTCACAAATCGTGACCCGAGAAGCGGCGTATACTTAAATGAAACGCTAGGCGATAAATACTTTCATTGTGACTCATCAAACCACGCGGTAGCTTCTTCGTGCAGAAATGAAACTTGTGGAAATAAAGACATGACGCAACGATATACGTCTCAATTTTCGTCGATTCTTTTGACAAAAGTATTAAGTATAATGAAAATAAAAATTAAGATTCTTAAACAACGTCTTTTATTTTAATAATTTAATAGTTTAAAAAAATGCCTATCAATTTTTTAACATGTCAATGTCGATTAAATTAGCTACCCAAAATTATAAATAATATACTTTTAAAAACAGTTTATATACAACATAAAATATATATATTTATATATATCAGAAATGCAATATTATAATTTAAAATATTGCCTAAATGATATAAAAGATGTTTGCAGTTCTTATAATTTTAATATGTAATTAAAAACTGCTAATCAAAGTATGCAAATAAGTATTTTTGAATTAAAAACAATTGTTTTTCAAGTTCAAATAGAAAACACTTCAATATACATATATGCTTAGAAATATTCAAGGCAATATTTATAGCAACGTTTAAATGTCGCAATAAAATCTATTATGAAGTACGTGTAAGAAAAGGAAATCCTAATCAAATGTTGTTCAGACTCAATTAAAACCTCGAAACGAGTCAAACATCGTAATAACTGCATATGCTCTAAATATAATTTCTTCACGTGCGTATATATAGATAATATTACTTGTGTATCTATGAAGAGTTGGGAAAATTCCAACGATATAGTATCATTGTTTTGCTACATCGCACTTTCGATGATCACAGGTCGGAAAGTATCGCAGGAATATCAACACAGCCACGAGCCAATTACACCGTCATTCGCGCCGGTGACGCGCCATTAATAGCTGAGCGATCAATCCTTAATGAATGCGCGTCAATTTAGCAATGGTGCTTCGCAAACGCTGCTGTTACTCTGAACGTTCGTGTAAACACAGATACACAGAGATATAATATATCATTGCAAAATGGTAGTCTTACATAAGAGATGATTAATAAATTTGTAAAAAAATATTTGCATTAATTGTTAACTGAGGAATTGACTGATATTATTTGTATTAGTGTATTGATAAAGAATATTGCATCTTTAGCAAAAGTGATAAGAGCTAATTGTGTATTACAGCGTTCTTGGTGATAGCAAAAAAAAATCCTGACAACAGCACTTTTCATTTCGATTAGCTTCTCGGTTCTCCGACTGCAGAACCGATTTTTTGCTTTCCTTCGTATCGAATTGATAGATCAAGACACGATATTTTTACGATCGTGGACAATTAATGGATAAAAAAAAAGTACGTGACAAAACGGAGGCCGCTGATTTGCGAAGCAGCGCAAGTCTATTGAAAGACAATCGAGGTGACGCGATGATGAGGATGATCATGATGATGTATCGCCCGCGTCGTCACAAATAAATTGGCAAGCCGAACTCGCGCAAGACATAATTCGATTAATTCGCGAGAGGACGACTAGACTCACGCGCCTGTCAACTTTGTTCCACGTAGATTAATGTCAATTAGCAACATAAACGAGGTCTCGTGATAGCCGTTTACTATGAATCACCGTATCTTCTAGAAAGACTTCTACACAATTTGTTTACTCTTAGAAGAAATCCAAACCTGTGCAACATCCGTCGTAAATTTATGATACTAAAATCTCTTTTAGATACTAAAAGCTCTTTTAAAAATATCGAAGTAACTGAAATAATGAATAAATAAGTTTACATAAACTGTACACGGAGAGAATTTTTTTTTTTAATTTACCCTGAAAATATGACAGTCGTGGGACAACATTGTATTTCGAAGATTTTTACCATGCACTTCAGTAAAATTGATCAAACTTATTTTAAACTTTATTGTAGTTTTATTAATGAATGAGAGGGATTTATGTTAAAATTCTTCAAAATAGAATGTTGTCCCACGACTGTCATATTTTCAGGGTAAATTCTAAGAAAAAATTCTCTCCGTGTATAGGAATTTATTACATTTAAAAATTTATAACATTTTTCTAACAATTTAATACATTTTAATAATTTATCGATTTCTCTCCTCTTGACATACTCTCGTTATTTGATCAAGGTAGCATTAAACGATAATTGAGCAGATCAAATTCTCTCGCGATATCGCTTCTAAAAATAAAAGGTCACTTCTCTCGTGTCAGCTATTGTTACCGTCTAGCCATTGCATAAGAAATTTTCCGAGGTGAGCGATATCAAGGTGCATAATAAGCGACGCGCGAGCGTTATCCAATCCAGTGTAATTCCGTGCGGTACTTACACTTTTGCCACGGTTAATAAATTTCGATTAAGGGCAACGTGGAAATCTACTCTTCGCTGCGAGCTCCGGCGCGTTCCAACAAGGCCTCGGCTCTTTTACGAATTACCATGGATTACGGCGCCGAGGCGCCACTCGGCGAGACGATGTACGATGTGCCGCGCGATCAAACGCCTTCCAATGTATCATCGTGCAAACGGCACATGCAGAATATATGTTGTTGCGATCTGCCGACATTGTAGAGAGTAAAACCAAAATGTTTCAAGAATTTTTATATCTTAAAGAGA